CACTACACGAATGAAGTTAAACCAAGTGGAATTCTGCAAGAATATCCGTCGAAAACTCGGAGAAGACATGGCAGACCGTACGCAGTCAGTGACAACTAACAACGTGTTTTATTTATTTTTAGGCCGTCACAGAAGTTACAGTGTATTCATGAATAAATGCACATCACCCTGATTAGGAAATGTTTTATAAGAAGTGAACTAATACATTGCAGAGAAAGCAATTCATATGAGTTTCTTCTGAGAGTCCATGTGCCATCAACATGTCGTTAGGCACATAGAATAATTGCCCAAGTCATTTTGCATCGTTAAAATGGCAACAAGAGGAAAAACATAACTTTTTACATGTTTTCCAAGAACAGTGGAAAATTAGTTAGTCAATTATGCAACGTAGCTCACGATGTTTCCGATCACAGAAGTCACTGACCATAGTTATTGATTGCCATCCAATGCAATGCGTAGGGCTGCAACAATTAGTCAACAATGTTTCTGGTTTTTTTACACAAATTAATGGTTAAATATTCGACTAATCGTAAAAATAATCGTTAGTGTGTTGAGTTTTTATTGTCAGAGAATAAATCTTTCTTGAAGAGGGCTGCATACTTTTGGCAACATCTCAAATGGTGTTTCTTTTTTGGACAAAATTACATTTGTAATGTTTATATAGTTGAGTTCACAAAATAGGTGACTTGAAAGGATTAGGGTTTCTAAGAATATAATGACAAAGGAAGAGTTTGGAGAATTTGTGATTTGATGATGCATATCTAATATAAGTATAAGTAGACTATTGTCCACAAGTTTAAGTGGTGAAATGTATCTTTTGTATGATTCGTAGTTCTGCTGACTTACTCTGTGTTGGATTAGAATCATTATATTGACCATCAGCACTGTGCTATGACCCCTCTACTTCTGTCTAGCAAATCCTTTATCTCTATCAATTTAATGTAGTATAATTTTGTAGTGCTGACTTTTTGTAATACTGAAAAAAGTCAAGCTTTGTTGTGCAAGAACTTTACTGGCAACTTCACCGAGACGTCTGTGGGGGCTACTTGGGGGAGGAACTGAGCTGAAAAGGGATTTGATTAATTAGAGAAAAACATCCTCTCCCTGCCCAATGGCCACCCACCCGGAGGTCATGGGCAAAAATACACTTGCAGGTTTCAAACCCCCAAGGGTGTACTACTTAAGTTTTTGTTTAAAGCACCAAGAACAAAGAAAAACAATACTTAATCCATACAAGGAAAATCATTAGGAAAGTCACAGAAACAGTTTTGAGTTGCTCATTGAATCAAATACCCAGTTATGAAACACTGACAATACTTCCACAATTGAATTGATAAAACATGTAAAAACTAGAAAACTATGAGTTGTGATGATCCTCAATAAACACTAAACAACTTTCTAATTAGCAATCCACGGTGCACCAATGGTATCAATTGAAGTTAGAAGCAAACAGTCTATCCACATTCACTCAAAGCACCTGCACAATTTGTTCCCTGCAACAGTTTTGGTTTGTGTGCAATGAATTACATCACTACAAGGAGACTGACCATTCAAGTGCCAATTCAAATGGCCTGATGCTGGTCAGCTATAGCTCTGTGAACTTCACAATGTCCTGGCACTGGGACATGGTTACGGTCTGCTGTCTCTCTTAAGATCACTCTTGCAGATCTGACATTCATCTTAAAATGACAAGAAGTGTCAAATAAAATGGATCCTCATTTCTCAAGCAGAAGTGAATGAGCCTACCAGACTATAAATCACACAAAAAATTGCATTTGCCACGTTCACTTGCAATAACATTGTGTTAGTTGTAATAACATTGGCCAACTAGCCAATCTTTATCTGCTAAATTGTAAATAAGCCTATAATTTAACTGTGTGGATATAAGTTGGACACGGGGAACAGAAAAATATTTCTTTAATAAAACGGTCCCGTTATTTGACATTTGCAGAAAGAAAAGAAGTGACCCGGAGGTATCCCATCTGCCGAAACCCGGGATCGAACCAGGGACCTTTAGATCTTCAGTCTAACGCTCTCCCAACTGAGCTATTTCGGCGGATGAAGTAATAAGTTTCAATATGTGTTTTTATTATAGCTATGAATACACCTGTTAGATGGTCGATACACTACAATCCACAGTGCGCTTTTAAAGCTAATGCTTTATCGGGAGTTTTGACCGTAGGCGTATACAATTAAAATGTGTATCTTTACTTTTCCTTCATCGTAAATGTCTTCCATCTCTTTCCTCCATATCTCTTTTCAGTGCTCTACAAGTTCTGACCTCGGAAGTAATATTAAAACTTAGTTCCAAAAAATCCTACGAACCGTTTGGAAATAATCAACATAATCACAAAAATGTGTTGTCACGTGGCGCCATCACGTGGTGTTTTCGAGGATGGCAAAGGCATAAACGTATAAAGATATATCTTTATATGTCTATGCCTTTCTTTATAAAGATATTTCTTAATATGTCTATGGGCAAAGGCACCTCTCGAAACATTTCCGACACCTGCCTATGCACCAGACTCAGCGACATGATCAGGCAGAACAATATTTACTGTCTATGGTCAGAACGAAGGAAAATACAACAACAAAAACATTACACATTCTAATTTTGAAAATATTGAATACAAACTAATTCAAAAATACAGTAGACAGTCACTTAATTTGCATTCGGCCACAAGACTTTTACCCACGAGGCACTGACAGCAAAATATCCACATAAAACTGACCAAACACGTACCTCATTCTCCGTTTTGAGTCTAAGGGGAATACAATTTAAACGTTCACATAATCTACTTGAAGAAATAAAAATTTTGCAGCACTTTACTCCCGATGTAAGAGCGCAGCACGGCCAAAACTGTGCATCCATGAGCGCAGCACGTGGTTGAAGAAAGAGGGTGTGTCAACAAACATTCACTCAAGTTATTGGGAGTGTTCAAAGGTGTATGAACCTCAAATGCACTCAAATTATGAACTGTCCACAAAACCTAAGACCCTAATATTATTTATCCCTGTTACATTACAGAATATAGTGCATATATATCAAATGTGTTTGTTTCTTGTGAACAATGGATGCAATTTGGCATTGTGCTAATTTTAGGATGTCACAAATGTATTATTATATACTGCCCTAATTCAAATACACAAACAAAACATTACCAAATATATGTTTTCTGTATAGTACTATGCAGAGGATCAAAGGACAAAAACAACTTTTTGTCTGTGGTGCAGGTTTTTCCACACTGTGCATGTAGTGGAAGTGACTGTTCTTATGTATTTTGTTTTTGTGGAGTGTCTTGTGTTGGTAGGGTTAGTGCAGCATATGTAAATGTTAATTATCTGTCCATATCGTGTTGTTAAAGGTTTTGCCACAGAACCACAATGGTACTGGCCTACTGATTTGTGAGAGTCAGGCCTTTCTCAGTTCTAAGCTCCACAAGGTCCTCGGCAAGCTCATTAACACAGTTCATCCCAGGAATAATGTACTCATCCACAGGTGAGGAAGAAACAATGACAATAGTCCTCAAGTATGCTGGCAGCAATTATGATTGTGGTGCCCAAGTATTTCACTTACAGCTTGTTGACAAGATGTAAACTGGCCAAAGGTGAGAAGACTGGACAGCAGACAGGACAGAAGATGGATGAGTAGACTGATCAGCAAAGATATTTGTCTAAGGTAATCTCAACGCAAGCCTTTCAGCAGGACTTGTCACCTCCACAGCAGCAGTTGAGTCTGAGATTGGACAGGAAAATGATGATTGTCTTCAAGATATTTATACACTTTCTGATAAGAAATCACAATAACATACCGTTATTATTCTTCATGTACTGAACGAATATTTTTGAGCTATTGTGCTTATCACTGTGTTATGGTGTTTATGCTGAACACAATTCCTTCTGGTACACAGTGTAGAACTGTTGTTGCCTTGGTGTAGGCCGGTGACCTGCCCGTGATGCTGTACATCAGTTTGAAGAAAAAGATCTCAGCATCAAGACCCACTGGATGTCTTCCGTGGCCTTGTGGCTTTTGCGATGCTTTGACATGTTTATATATATATATATATATATATATATATATATATATATATATATATATATATATATATATATATATATATATATAATGTATATACCAGTAAGAGATAAGAAAGTTATCCAACTACAATATATGGTATTGTCACATGCATAAGCCAAAAACTATAAAGCAATAACATACATAATGTACATAGTTATTAGTTTGAATAACAAATAGCAAAATAGATAAAGCCAGTTGGTTATAACTGCAAATAGCCTGATAGTTTGACTGCGATAGCCAAAGATGCTGTTCATCTCCACTATTTTGGCAAAGATAAGTAAGTATTTGAAAGAGTAAAATATGTTTGCAATAAAATGTCCCAAACAACGGCGAACGATCATAGACTGTAAATATTATCGACATAAATCCAAGCTGATACCGCGTATTCTGACCACATTCTGACAGCGAATTTAAAACACCCGCTGCGAACCCGAAAGCTCTCATTGTTATTGGCCAGTCAAATATTGGAATTCAATGGTTGATTGGCCCTGTGATTTATTGACTCGTGTCAGCAACAAGACTGTAAACATCAGCGAGGCTGTCAAATGTTTGAGCCGACCTCCTGATTGGCCTGCGAATGTTTGAATGACCGCATGAATGAATTCATGAATGTTTGAAAGGCGAAAATCAGACATGAGTAATTCACCAAATGTATATTCACACAATATAATATTAATATTCCCATAAAACAAAAGTCAGTCTTTAGTTATTCATCTCAAAGTTCAAGATTACTACCTTTTATTATTTATCTTTGTCAAGAAACAGCACGTTTCTCGACGTCATCACGTTGGTTTGAATGGAGCGTCATGTTTCCGCTATCGAGCGGCGGTGCTGCTGTGGCCTTTCCTGCTGCAGCTCTGCAAACGTACTCTGCCATTACTATTATTTAGTCCCTCTCTAGTGATTGATTCCAATTCCGACCATGAATCTACTGATTGTAAGTTCGTGCCTTTTGGTTGCACTGAGTGGGGTCTCGGCGGGCGGATTAGTGAATGAAGAGGTGAAGAGGACGGTGGACTTGAGCACTCATTTGGCTAAGATCACGACGGAGATCGTTTTGTCCAACCAGGGACACTCTGCAGTCCAGAGCTTCATGCTGTCCGTGGAACCAGACCTGGCACCGCACCTGGCATACATAGGAGCCTCGGTAAAGTTTGGATTTTCATACATCTGTGCAAGATTGTGATACCGGCTTATTTGCATTAGCTAGCATGCTAGCTGCAGCTACTTCATTAACAGCCCTTGAAGCATACCAGTCTCAATTTTGTAGTTTAACACTAATTGAGGTAGTGATTAATCCGTCACCTGCCTTTGTAAATGTGTGTGTATATATAAGCCACATGTGCACGGAAACTATATGCTTGCGTTACGGTTAATTTTGTTAGCAAAGTTGCATGCCTGGATTGCATGCACAAATACAAAAATGAACTTCATCCTATCAATTATGCATTTAAAGCCAATCAAAATTACTAAAAAATTCGCCCCACTGAGTTTATTCAGATGTTTGCTTCCGCAGCACGCTGTCAGTGGCTGAATGACACGTATGCGTTGGGCAGTACACTTCCGCATTTGACTTCTAGTAGATCGGCCCTTTTGTGCTTTAAAAATGTGAATGAATGAAATCCTTGTTCGTACTTTTCGGCATACATGATACAACCATTTTCCTGAACACCTATGTTGTTGGATTTCAAATAGCCAAATTCCATCGTATACATGTATCTACTGTTATTCTTAGTTTTTTTCCTTTCATTTTGGGGAATAGGTAAAAGGAGATGAGGAGGATGATGGCTCACTGGAAATTCAGCAAAGTGACATACATGGCCACAGGTTAGTCTGTCATGAAGTGGAATATAACATAGAATAAAATAGCTAATATTAGAACTGTTGTTGCAGTGGGGATTTCTACAAGGTCCACCTCTCATCCAGCCTGGCTTCTGGAGCTCAGCTGAAAGTTAAAGTAGAGATGACCTTCAGCCACGTTCTGAAGCCGTTCCCGACTCACATCACACAGGCTGAACGTCAGTTGGTGGTTTTTCAGGGAAACCATTATCTGTACTCTCCTTATCCGACACGCTCTCAGACTACTCGCGTCCGTCTTGCTTCCAAAACTGTGGAGAGCTACACAAAGCTGGGGAATCCCAGCAAAAATGATGAGATAATAGAATATGGGCCATTTCGCGATGTTCCTCCCTACAGTGAGGTAATCAAAATTAATAAAAATGTGTATTATTAATGTATTAGGTTTAAAAGTATCATGGCTTTCTGATGTGTAGGACACAATGAAGCTCCATTATGAGAACAACACACCCTTCCTCACCATCAGCAGCCTGACACGCACCATTGAAGTATCTCATTGGGGTAACATTGCAGTGGAGGAGACCATTGACTTGAGGCACACTGGAGCTGTTCTCAAAGGAGCGTTTTCTCGTTATGACTATCAGCGGCAATCAGACAGTGGGATCTCCTCTGTTAAATCTTTCAAGGTCTTAATATGCACACGTTAGACCCTGTAAATGATGTTGAATTGTACAATAACACTAAAATCTACTTTTTGCAAAAGACAATCCTCCCAGCTTCAGCTCAAGATGTGTACTACAGAGATGAGATTGGAAACATCTCTACCTCCCATCTCCAGGTGTTGGATGACTCTGTCGAAGTGGAAGTTAGACCCCGCTTCCCTCTGTTTGGAGGATGGAAAACCCACTATGTCATTGGTTACAATCTTCCAAGTTATGAATACCTCTACACACTTGGTGAGTCTGCTCTTTTGTGTTAATACTCATGTGAAACTACTATTGATTTAATTTAGTCTTATTTGACCATATAGAATATTCATTTTGTACGCTTATAACGTGTACATTACGCTTGGTGGTACTATACTCAGAAATGGGATATGAAACTATTTTGTGGTTTTTAGGTGATCAGTATGCACTTAAAATGAGATTGGTGGACCATGTGTATGATGATCAGGTCATTGATTCTATGACCGTGAAAATAATTTTGCCAGAGGGTGCCAGGTTAGTGCTTGTAAACAACTATATAGTTTCATATATTAATGGTAAAAGATAAAATCGCTCTCTTGACAGAAATATACATATGGATATACCTTACAAGATTGATCGTCTCCCAAATCAGCTTCACTACACTTACTTGGACACGTTTGGACGCCCAGTTTTGGTCGTCACCAAGGATAACCTGGTGGAACATCACATTCAGGATGTAGTGGTAAGAGATAAAATATTGCTGCAAAGTCTCATTGTCAAAAGAGGTTTTGAACAATAAACAGGTTTTTGGAATTTGAACAATGGTCCCGCTCTTGACACATATCCGAATATTTGGCAATACAGAAGAGCTTTTTAAAGGTGCATTCCTCAACTGTCCTGTGGAGGGCCTACTATTTTCTGGGTTTCATCGTCAAGTTTTTGTTTTGCCTGGATATTTTTACAGTTTGATTTTATTTAAACGCTTTCCTTATATGTGGTGGTGCAGTGGTTCTGTGTGGAGTTTGCATGTTCTCCTGTCTGTATAGGTTTTAAAAACGCATACAATAGGTCTGAATGTAATGAGTGGCTGAACGGGTGGTGTTAGTCGGAGGCTTTGATACAGCAGCATGTTTGGCCTCTCGCTTCTGTCATCACTGTCTTTGGAATTAATAGAAAAATATCAGCACTCCGAAAACATTGTAAAGCTCTTTGTTTGACCCTGGTCAAGATTACTTAATTTACTTTGGAAACAAGAATGTGACTCACTCAGCTAAGTTACAGGTGCAGGATTTTCTCTTCTCACATTTTAAATCATCCAAAATTGAGTTTTAAACAAACTGAGCGACATTTCAAGAAAAGATAATAAGGAATCTACCACAGCAAGAAGCAGGACCACTTCAGAGAAAGCTGGTCACCACCGGGACAGTTGAGGAATGCCCCTTTATGTAATAGTGGGTAAAGAACAGTCACTTATGTATACTTGCTGGGTATTGATGGAGAACTGGATACTATATACACATATATAATGTTGTTTAATTTAATTTGCTCCCACAGATTCATTATAACTTCAATAAGATCCTGATGCTGCAGGAACCACTGCTTGTAGTTGGGGCTTTTTACATTCTTTTTTTCACGGTCATCATTTACGTGCGCCTCGACTTTGCCATCACCAAGGTAACACATGACTAATTTTGTCTGTTTGTTAATGATTTGATTTGCTAAAGGAAATGTTTGTAAAACCAGGATCCTGCAGCAGAGGTGCGAATGAAGGTAGCGTCCATAACTGAGCAGGTGCTGACCCTGGTCAACAAACGCCTCGGCCTATACCGGCACATGGATGAGGTGGTGAACCGCTACAAACAGTCTCGAGACACTGGTGCGCTCAACAGCGGGCGGAAAACCCTGGAAGCAGACCACCGCACCCTAACCAATGACGTCAGCTCTCTGCAGGCTCGGCTCAAAGCAGAGGGCTCAGACTTGGCCGAGAAGGTAATTGTCTTATATAAGAGCACTGCAAGCTTTTGAAACCTCAAATTATTTGCTAAATATTAAATTTTTAAATATATAACAAAGATTAATAAACAAACAAAAGTAAGTTTAAACAGCTACTTGAGACTGAAGGTATTAAGAAATGTTTAGTCCAGTGAAGTAGTAGTGTGGAACCACATCCTACAGTGTCCTAAAACTATGCACATGGGTGAGAGAGAACTGAAACAAAGGGAAAGCAAACAAAACACATTTACTGTGCACAGCAACTGAACCACAAAGGTATTTTTTGTGAAAATGTCCTTTTCAAAGAAGTGTGAGAGGATTGGAGGTGACACTTTAGTGAACCTCATTTATCATCCGTGTGTGCAAGTGGTTCAATTAGGCCTATATTAATTGAGGAATATTGGATAGTTGATTTATTTTAGCCTGTATAGTTGCCCTTGACAAGAATATGCTTTTTAATGTTTATACATTCAAATGAGCTCAATGCTATGTAAAACTACAACTGTGAACACTAGGGTGCGCTGTTTGAATTCACCTTCATGCAAGAACCATCCAGAATGAAGGTTTGGCCTCACTGCTTGAAAGTGCTGCATTTAACATTGTGCAGATACACAACAGAATGTTTAAATACTGTAACCAAGCCTTGTCTCTGCTGTTCAGAATGCTTCTTCCTTTGTTACCAAACTCTATGTTGGTCCCTGCCTGTGTTAAATGGGGACTAGTGAGTACAGTGTTGGTGGGCAAGGGATAAAGGTCAGGGACAGGTTTAGGTAAAGTCAATTTTCTTGTTTTTTTTATACCCAAGGTTTCCACTCTGCTAATCGACACTACTAGATTGAGGTTGACATGTGAAACGGTCAACGTGGCTTTTGTTCATAAATCTTATAAATTGCTCACCTTGCACTTGGGCTGAACGATATGGACATTTCAGTTCTAACAATATTCAGGTTGGGTATCTTTGACATACGACAATAGAACTCCCACCCTCCTATCTTTTGTAATTGTTTGGCTTCAGCTGTCTATCCACATCAGTTTGTGGTAGCTGGCTGTAATAGATGAACCATTTATGAGCAAGGGAACTTGTAAAAAATATATATTGTGAGGCATAAAGGAGGGGAAATGGATATAGTTTCCATATATCAATATGACAATGGCTATGTGTATTCAATTCCGGCCTTGCACATCATTGTCAATATCACTGGACAGAGATGGATATGACCAACAGTAAGTTCTTTTTGTGTCTGTCCTCTTCAGGTCGGAGAGGTGCAGAAACTGGATGGTCAGGTGAAGGAGCTGGTGTGTCGCTCATGCCAGGAGGCTGAGAGACTGGTTGCTGGTAAAGTTAAGAAGGAAGCCTACATTGAGAGTGAGAAAAACCTGAGCAGTAAGAGGCAGGAGCTAGTAGGTCGCATTGACAGTCTGCTGGATGCACTTTAAAGTGCTTTACTACCATTTAGGTTTCATTTACCTGAATTGCAACAAAAAAATCTGTCAAGTTAAAGTCAAGTACCGTACAACTTTTGGGGCTTTCTACCTTTTGGTTCTTTAAAAATAATTGTCAAGATGCCGCTGTACCACCAGTCAAGGTTCATTTCAGCTTATTAAATTGTGAACATTGTTTTGTTGAAGGGGGAAGGATTAGTCCCTGTTTTTTCTCACTAGCCGATTATCTAAAACCTTGTCAATATGTCTTTGGCACTGAGGTGTTATCTGTTTGAGATGTTAGTTTTTTTTCTAATTTTTTATATCATTTACGTTCTTTTTTTTGTACCTCTTTTAAGACAATGATTAGTGTAAAGACCGGTTGTAGGTGAGAAAATACATGGGCCAATATTGCAGTCTTTGTTTTTGGCATGAGAATTTTGAAATAAAACGTTTTCAAATAAACATTGTTGTCAATATTTGCAAATGTATACTGCAGTAGATGAATACATAATACTAGTACTTTTTTGCCTTTGTTTTATTGTAATGTGGTACAAACACTTTGCATGGTGTTGAAAATCTGCAAAGGGACTTTCCAGTACATTGTTGTGCAGCTCTGCTGAAATACCCCACCTATTGACTTTGCCCTTAGCCAACCTGCCACCACCGGGGTCAATATGAGGTCATATCTTTCCCTGTAGGTCACCAGGGTCTTGGCAGGTCACTTCCTGTTTCACAGACCCACCCATTCCACTCACTATGATGATGAAGTTAACATATTGTTGAGCTGATCTCCAGTTCCAGTCTGAAATACACGGCGGAAGACCAGGCCACATCTACCCAGTCTATTAGTTATCAAACTAGGATCCCAGTAACATGAATAAGGGCATTCAGTCAGTAGTTGAATGAATATACTTACCTCTAGGGTGAACAACCAATTGTTGGGTGAGGTGGACAATTACTTTCTTCAAGGGGCCACATTCGGATATAGTCATATTGTGGAGGGCCGGACTTGTTATCACAGGGTTACCATTTAATTCAATCTGGCAAACATATTTGCTATTTTCTGAGAAACATTTCCTTTTTTAAGGAGGGAAACATGGAGCCAAAATATCCTTTGCTTTTTTTTGTTGTAATGTTTGTTTAAAGTTCATCTATAGCATCCATGGCTTTTGATTAAACTTTTTTTATTTAGGTTTATTTGATTATGGGTTTCCATATATTGCCGGCCATCAAGTGGACAGTATGAGGTTGACAGCTGGGAAGAATCCAGGGGCTGCATGTGACCCTCAGCCCGCAGCTTGCCTAGGTATGCACAAAAGGGACATTATTGCAGTTTATTGCAACCATTGTAAAGAACTTACGGACTTGTTTATAGGATAATAATTAATACATGGATTTTACATAGGTTGATCATTTATCATTTTGAATTCTTACATGCTGAATGCTGCAAAAATATACACCAGTGCAGCCTTTAAAAAGTAAACACACTGGACAAGCATACACCACTGTTTTGATTACAAATACATTTTTCAGGGCAGACTTAACACCTTCAACTTAATACTGCTATATCCTCTTTGTGTAGATTTATGGAAGAGGGCAAGCACATACAGCTCCTTTAGGGCATATTTATGTAATGCTTTAGGATTTGTTTCAACACTTGAAAAACAAAGTTGTATAAAAAAAATCAGGCAACTCCCTATATACCATAATAAGCCTGTTAAAAGCCAGAAAGATATGTGTGTGACTGTAAAAGTGTAGATGTTATGCTTGTGAGTTTGGGTACACAGCTCAATTCGAGACGTGGAGTCCCCAGACTATTTCATAGTAATATTAAACAATTACTACCCTTTACAACTTGAATACTGTATCTGGATGTATTTTGGCTTGGATTTGAAAGGAAAAGCATTACTTACTCTTTAATATAAAGCAATAAAATGTTAGTGGTCCTGCAGAATCTTGGTATGGAGGGCCGCTGGCATAGCACACACCGTTGAACAAGCAGCAGTGCTACAGTTGTTAGTTGAAGGGGGCTGGGTTCAGAGGTCCCGTCGTTGCACCATGAAACAGACAATGGTGACTGACTACAGTCAAAATCCTAATAATGCAAAAAGATAAAGTAGGAAGGAGGAGATGATAGTGCTCAAGTTACCATAATTCTCCCAGAAAACTGACTCCATATGCAGCTTGATTGACCATCTAAGAATTTTAGTCTTCCCTGAGTCTTACCTACCTAACCATACGCCAAATTAAAGAGGCCTGTTTAAAGCCTGGCCTTGAATGTAGGGAATGTACTGTGTACCGCCGACAGTGCTTTTTGAGACTTTAGGAACCACCAGACCTCTGGCGTTTTGCGAGCGCAGTGCTCTGTTTGGTTGGGATGACTCTAACGTGTCTTGGAGGTAGGAAGGAGCCATGCCATTTATGGCTTTGTATGTTAAAAGAAGGATTTTAAATTTTATTCTATACTCCAGAGGAGGCCAGTGGAGTGATTTTAACATCAGATGCCAGAAATGCTCACTTGAATCTTTTGGCTGAAGAAGAAACCAGAAAAAAATGATTAGGTCGACAGACAATGAATCTCACCTAATTCAGGCCTAAAAAACAAGGTCACCAGGATTGTTTGGTTACCTGTTTGTATATAATGTACATAATAATAAATAATAACGTACATAATTTTCAGGTACAATGAGTAATGGAGCATGAGACAAATGTTTGGAGGTGACCCGGAGCACCCCCTCTTGGCGGAGGTATGCGCTCATTTCAGAGGCCAGCTTATTTTACTGGTATAGTATTCAACATCTATCCTCCATCTGCCTGAGTGAGAGTTCATATTTAGTCATGTTTTGTGGCCTTTTCATAAGCAGGGACTTCACTGTTTCACTTCTAGGCTGGGTCCAGGATGTGATTACCCGTCGAAAAGGAATTGCGGTTTATCTGTTGGCTAAATACTGTTTAAACCGGAATTCATATGCAGCCCTGTATCCTGATGTGGCTACGTGTGTCGTAGGAGGATGAGAAGTTGCTGCAAACTGCTGGACCGGCTGGGCCCTGTGGTTGAGCTTCATGAGACCCCTCCTCTTACTTGATGATTATCTCCCTGAGCTGAAGTATATAATAATGATGCAGCAAGTGGCTCTTCTTTATCTGCCAGAATTAATGAATATGCAGAAAGTGTAAAGTCTCAAACCAGGTATAGACTCAAGGGTTAAGCCGGCAGTCCCGTGTCGTGTGACGTGGTGGTGATTGATTACATTGAGAGCTCACCTGCGCCGCACTGCCTCTTAATCTCCCCAGCTCTAAAAATATGGCGAGGGAGAGGCACAAGTCACTATTCGGGGGACAATATCCGGCTCAGAAGACCCCTCGTGGCACCGGCTCATAAATCACCCAGACAGAGCCACCACCCTCATTGTCACTGTGTTATTATTATTCACCAAAACTCACCTCGCTGCACTCACTCATTAAGTTCAGTCAAGAAGAATTTCGTTGAAAGAGAGAAAAAGAAAGTTCGATGAGACACAGCTCCAATCCACGGCTTTCTTTGGCTCCACTTAAAACGGTCACCTTTCACAAGAGCTCTGTGGCGGGCATTCCTCACTGACAGGCCCCGATGGCATGAGGTGAGGGACGAGGGCTCAAATCCCAAGTGGTGTCTGGTGCAGGTGGCAGAAGTGTGAGGGCCGGTGGAGGTACAGGACAAAGCTCTGTCTGTGGGCCCCTACGCAGCTGCAGAAGGCGGAGCAGGTCCTGGCTGAAGGATGAGGTGGTCAGGCGGATGGGCGAATGCAAGGAGGAGGAGAACAGCGTGGCAGGAGCGGAGGTGAAGAGAGGACTTCAAACAAGGGACAGACCGTCAGGTGCTGTGTGAAGGGAGATGCATTTTTGAGTGAGGCTTTGAGGACAAGTGAGATGCGTGTCCGGCAAAATGCAGCTATACGTTTAAGTTATGTATTGATGAATTTAAGTTATTTAATTGATTTTACATTGTATTATTATTATTATTATATTTACCAACAGAGCCTGAACTCATGAATTTAGGAGTTTGGTAAGTAGGTATTTATTCTATGGTAATGTGTGGTAAAATTTGTAAAAAGTATTTGATATATCGTACTATAAGTTTATCAATTGGTTTATCTGAATTCTTGTGACTATCCTGATTATTACTTTTTAGAAACATTGAAAAAACCTGTAGTCATAGAACCATGCACTTGCCACACTGATGTCAGCCTGCATCTTTGTATGGATTTGTATCAGTAAGACAGTAATCCCTTCCCCTGCCGCTGCTGTGTGCGACTGTCCACAGCTCCCACTAAGACCCACACGTCTCTGCCACATGGCGCTCCTTCAAAGCACTGATGGTCATGCCTTAGGGGGAGGTATTGCCAAAATATTTGCCCAAGGTTCTTCCCAATCCTTCAGCATAGAGGATCTACTGCACATCAAAGTGATGAGCCATACTTCAGACTATCATCCTGGATCACAAGAAGGCAACTGAAACATGGCTACTCTTTTGGCACACACACATTATATTTCCCACTTTCTCCATTACTGTTGGTTAGAGTGACAGGGTCACTTCCCATTGGCTGTGAGAGTATCCCCCTCCTTCCTATGGGCAGCCAATTTCCCCTACTCCAGAGCAGATAGGAAACTTTTATTGTGCACAACAGATTTTTGTTCCTTTTGCAGTCTGTGTCTGATGTCTACAATCTCCTCTTTCTGCAAACTGATGAAATATGCCTGAATTCCTCTATGGGCAACTGATGTATGTCAATTAAACTGACATAAATTAATGAAAACAAAGCCTGTACCAAACTTAAGTACTTTGTGAATATGATGCACTGCTCTTCACACATGTTGTCAGCCTACAAGCTGAGGTTAGGTGAAATATACGGGACAAGGTAGGGCACATAACAGTCTTGAACACAGACATTGGCTATACATGACCTTCAGAAACACTTCCTCACTGCATATGCCAAAGGATCAAATCAAACACATTGTTTCAATCAATATATTGGCCAACAGTCACCGAAACGCTCAGTTGGAGCCTTCAGCTTTTCTGTGTTCACTCCTCCTCACAAATAATTTAAGACACACGTGTTGGGGTAACTGTATTATGATACATCCATGATTTAATTCCATGTTATGCGTACCAGAGAGCTCGACAGTTCCTCGTGTGACCGCTAGAGTTCACTATATATTAGTAAATAACTTGCAAGTGTTCTATGGATCTGCCTAGTCCTTGAGGAAAGACGAGCGAAAGAGAGCTCTCATTTAATTGTGTGGGTGGGCACACGGGACATTCTGAGTTGTTATAGAGAAAACTAAGTGCATGCGATGTCATGCAAGTGTATAAATACGCGTTCGTTGGACTTCCATTCCAAGGACATGGTTATGGCGACTTTGTGCATGACCTTTTATAAATAAATAAAAAAAAGAGCTGATCCTCTATAATAGACTCCGGGCCCGATATGGAAAACTGCTGCTGCGTTATCTGGTTGTCTAGGAGACCATCAGACTGGGCCGGTGGAGATGCCGCGGTATTAAAAGGGGAACGCTCTTGTTGTGTGCGGAGCTATAGGCACTGCGCCTATTGGCAATAGTGTTTCCTATTTATAGGGCTATAAATATGTTGTGATATAAGAGTCCTTACAAATAACCGACCGTGATGAGCCACAATGCAGGAGCGCATTGGCTCATCACAGTCGGTTATAAATGGTGGTTCCAGGTCCATCATTTCTCAAACCGTTTGGACAAGGTCACTGAAAATGGGCAAATATACAGTCGAATTAGGTGTGTAGACGCTGTTTAAGCTCGCTGGACCTTAGGTAAAGTGCAGATGCGCAGAAGTGCAGCTGATTCACTTTCAGATCACACTTGACTGACCTCACACACTAACGGTGTAATTTACTATAAGGAAATTATACAATACGAATAGAATTGACCGTTATCTGGTTTGAAGCCTGTGTGCATCAAATCATATCTGATAGCATTGTCCTTAATTGTATAAAAGTTCAATCATAATGATATTTGAATTTGACTATAATGCTCGCATGTTCAAAAGGGTAAAGTGAAAAATGAACCCAATCTGAGACAGGAGAAGCAATGGGACTAATCATTCTGATAAGCATCTTATCCTGGTGATGTATGTTTAATATAGCTTGTATTGATATGTAAAATGTGCATGTGGGCCAATAACCTGCTTCTAACGCCACACTGTGCTTGGTTGTCCCGGTGCTGCATAAGCGTGTAAATATTTCTCATTCCCTGTGCCTATCTGTCTATATCAACCTGCAGGATCTCCCCCACAAATGATGCATTAGATGCATTGAATGTATTTGTTGTGCAAGTTTGAAAAGGCGGCGATAATCTGGGAGAGAGAGATAAGGAACACCAATTTATTCAGCAGCACTTTGGAGCCCGCTCGCAGCCTCGGTCGCTGCTGACACCCCCAGCAGTTTGCTGATAACGATTAGGCCATTTATTATCTTCACACACAACAAAGATTGCGTGAAGCCGATGAAATATTACCCCTGGTAATAATCACAAGAGAAGGGCCATCTTATGCGGTGTGCATAGAGAATGTCCTGCAAGAAAATCAAAACGCATTGTTCCGATTTTAACATGGCGGTAAAAATAATAATTTAATTATAATATAAAACAACTACAATAATACTATTACTATTCAGAATAAAAAACAAAAATATATAATAAATGTAATATGTTATAATAATTATTAGTCGTGTCATTCGTTTTACAACTGGAAATGTAGGCCAAACTAAACCGAACTACTTTTCTAACTTTGTGTGTGTTAATACACCTTCATGTAGGTATCAAATGCATATAATGCCCGAATATGGGCTCATATTTGTGTTGTATATCTGATGTATTGAAAAGCATGGAGCAGTTACTATTATTTCTTTAAATGGGGTGGGTGTAAGTATAGTTTACTACTTCCGATGATTTATGAAAGTGTTATTATAGTTTCTTTTTTTCCTCTCGTTTAGTTGTGACATTAACATTAACAATTCAAATTCAAATAAACAACACACTATTAAATTAAGTATCTGTGTGTAGGCCTAATAGGCCTTCAGCCTCTATTGGAGATTGCCTTCACCTTTAATAATGGCTTCAAAAGTATAATATATCGGCCTCATGTAATACTGTCTCTTGGTTATTTGCCTTTCATTTATTCAGAGGTTGTCAACATTTTGAATACTTTTTATTACAGAGCTTTAATGTTGTGTTTCCTCTGTCTATGTGCCAACAGAGCTGTCGATGAAAGAGCTCTCCAAGAAATGAACCAAACTCAAACTGTGCAACATTATGTTTTGCATAAGACAGTTAACGTGTTTGTTTCCAGCTGCTATTTAAATTTCACACAATGCGCAGTTCACATGCACGCAGACGTGCTTAAAGCAGCTTCAGATGACGTGCTTCTCTTTTATTCTCTGTGGGCCATTGTCGAAGTGCGCGTGTGCACTCTGGGGAGCACGCGCCTCGAGTTGCAGAGGTCCCGCGCTGCACCTGCTGAGCTGCAGCGGACGCGTCCGCGTGAGGACGGCTCGCGTGCAGGAGATTTCAGCGGCTTTGCATGTTTTACAAAGTTGTTGTTAGTGTGTGGAGCACAAAGCATAGACTGCATCTAAGAGTTAGGCTCTGTTGGGCTTTTTAATGCAGTTAATGCTGAGGTAGGGGGTTTCTGGCACACAGTAACATCTCATTATGTCGTTTACGCCAAGTGAGAAAAAAACTAATTTTAGCATAGAGTGTCTTATACGTAAACAATATGTAGACATTGAGACAATGCCTTTCGTTTAAAGGCCTAGAACATGTCATAAAAATTGTGTTATTGATACAAATGTTTCACTGGCCAAGGGGCAGTAGGCCTACTTGGACCATATTAATGCAAGACCCGGAAGCGAGGGTGTGGACTGACGTGCCATTACGTGTACAGTCATTCAGCCCTGCATGGAGCCAGCCACAGAAGTTTGTGCACAATTCCAGAGAGCGAGGGGAGGCGCAACACTCCAGACACAGAGGGGACAAGTGCTGTGCGCCTGTGATTCTGCCAGCTCCGCTGCTCGTTATTGTCGTGGTTTATTCTCTCACATTGAAGGATTTAGATGAGTGCATCGACCGGACCTCATTGGTTTCAAAGGTAGCGCGTCTTCTCCGCTCAAACAGACAGCAGGTAAGTCATTACAATAAAGAATAGAATATCACATTGTGAATGACAATCCTAAAAGATGCTTGAGTAAACAAACAGTGCGTAATCCACTATGTTCTATCCAATTGGGCTACAGCCTAAACGCGGATGCTGAGATATTGTGTAGAACAGAACAATATTAAGCGCTTACTGAATTGTACATACTGCGTAAACAGGCTTAAATGTTTTATGCGCTTCTTAATTCTGTACACGCGGGCTTTGATTCATAAATCGTTTTTTTGGTTGCAAATGAAGTGCAGATAAATCCGTTCAGGTGTTTGTATTCACGGGTGCTCGAGTGCTGAAGGATTATATTATACAAATGTATAATCCCAGAGCTACAGCCCCTGTACAGTAGCTGTTTAAGGTCGCCGTGGGCAAGGTGCTCTATTCCTGAAAAAGGGTCGATCGCAAAATGGATTAGTGTATCATCAGCGTGATATTAGTGAGAACAAAGTATTCAATTGACACGCTTTAAAATGCATAATGACTTTGAACAGACCTCTTTCATCAGCAGAAAGAGCAATCACGCCAGTACAATAGAGAAGCTGAGGCAGGGGCGACCGAGGGTCTAGCAGAAAAGTAAGCATCCGCAGACATTCTTTATAGATTATCTATACCAGGGTATAGACTATAATATTATCTAAAACTAAAGAAACAGGCTATTAAATGTATTTCTAAATCTACTCCTTAATTAACACGTAGCAATGCATTTGAGCTTCAACAGTTTATGTTACTAATAACCAGGCTGTAACACTCGAAACGATTTTCAAATATCTTGATTGTGTCTGGGGATGCTGAGCTCTAACCCCCCTGCCTGAACCAATCTAATTAGCCGTAAAAAAAAAAAAAGGGGGGGGGGGATATAATGCGTGTACTGGTTTATGCCTTATAGATCCTCCAAACTCCCACCAAAGCTCGTATTCACCTCCATACTCACACACCTTCACTCCGGCTCTGTGATGGATGGCCATGCCCAATGAGAACAAACAGGCAGATAAAGCTGATCCCATTTAATAACAGCATAGATCGCAGTGATAATCTTGTTGTTCATTACAGCTGCACACCATTCAGCTTCAGCCTCCTCATCTTTGGTACAGCCTAGCAACACTACATCTACGCCCTTGACAAAACCCACCCAATCCTTATCACACATTTTAGTTGTTTTATGGCAGATATGGAGAGATTATTAAAGATATGAATTAAAAACTAAATCCTGCTAGGTAATCCATCAGGCAAACAAACAAAGACCATGCCAACTTTTTAAACTTTAGAATATGTTTATTTTTATTTTTTTGACACATTGACAACATTATATTTAGTCAAACATCACATTTAAATAAGTTTCTATTACCACTTAACTGGTTTGATTGCTTTAAAATCTCAGGTCGTGCACAAGGTTGTCACCTGCTCCCAGTGGAATGTCAGTTATTCAGGTGCCACCCCCTACTGCCTCATATGCACTTATTTGTTGATTTTAGCTCGTCAGCTCTGTGCCTCGGTGCCATTTCGGCTGCGCAGGCCTACCACTGATTTGAGGACCATGATTGACACGCGCTTACCCTGAGTCTAAATCATGCATCTCAGTCTTTGGGTGTGTTAAGCAATGGGATTGTGTTTTAAATATTTCTGAGTTTAATGAGGAATACGTCCTGACGTTTCCCCAAACATCAACCCCACGTGGTGCAGGTAATGTCGGGCCCTGGCGTCACCCTGTCGGAGGGTCCAGTCTGTGACCCACCTAACTACTGCGAGTCGTGCACATTCAAGTCGCATCTTTACGCACGCAGTTCCCCCCTTAAAACGCGGAATATGTAAACACATGAACAAAATTTGAACATTACATCTACGCAATTATTCACGATATATGTCCAGATAATAAAGGGCTTAGTTGATAAACACAAATATAAATATTTTTTGAAACGTGTTTGAGTTGTACAGTATAGACCTGCGGGCTATAAGCACAGACCGGGTGCCACCATGTAAGAGAGGCGCCTTAGTATGCAAACTGTTTGATTGGGTTGTCCCGGGAACAAAACCCACTGTTTTCACAAGAGGAATGTCCTGCTACTAATTAAAGACAATTAGGCGCAGCACACAATGGCCTCTTTTTGGGGGGGGGGGTCATAAATCGACTGATGAAGACAGTGTTTATTTACATAACAGCACTCTGTGAAAAACAACACTTACAATAATAACAATGTTACGCATGATCAACACATCTCGTCGCTGAGGCCTGTTTGGTTAAGGCTGCTGTAAAAAGTCAACGATGGAAATATTTTTCAGCTTTAATAGTATGCCCACTGTGCACACTCTATTAAGTCCACCTCTCCTGATAAACGTCACCAAGAAGTCTATTAGCCTGTCCATGGTCATTCAGATCGAAAAAGAGCAAAAGAAATTATGTAGCTGATTGATAAGTCTTTTAGCTTTTACGGTGTATAAGTTGAAAGAAGCAATAGGGACGTAGGGAGCCAATTGCGACAGCAGTAACCTGATTGGCTCAGACTAAGGCCCCGCCCCCAGTGTCTTGATATGGGAATTTACTGGCGCCAGCCGCATCAGTCTGCGCCATATCTCGTTAATGAACGCACGGATCAGGAGTTACATATCCAGCCTACGAACGGCATCAGCTGCGTCAACAGGTAGGCAGTGAGGCACGCGTGTTTCCTCCCATAAGACACACTGATCCGAGTTGGCTTGGTGGACTGTTACGCACGAAGTATAGTCCAACTAATGGGAGATTTTTTACACAATACAAGTTTATGCAGGAGCAGCAGACTAATGCAATGTATGTTTAAGTGTCACGTTTTATGTTTTATAGGAAAGGACAGAGAAACAACCGACTGAAGGATTGTATAGCCTATACCAGAACTTCTACATCTTCGGCGCAGGACCTTTACATTTCTACTACACTATCCCACTTCCATTTGGAGGTGAAGGAATTTGGAGACGAACTGAGTGAAAGGACTGAGACATGGAGGTCGCAGCAGCAGACCAGTCCCGGTGGATGGCGCACCACCACGCTGTGCTGAACGGTCAGCACCCCGACTCACACCACCACAGTCTGGGCCACAACTACATGGAGCCCATGACGCCGCTCCTGCCCCAGGACGAAGTGGACATGTTCCTTAACCACTTGGATTCTCCAGGGAATCCTTACTATTCCAACTCCAGGGCTAGAGCCTACAGCCAGGCACATGGTATGACACGTTTCATTCAAATGATTAGATAAGGGCTACAAATACATAGCATAGCAAACACATCAAGATCAGAACATACAACCCTAAGAGCCAGTGCTAGTCAGTGACCTACCAAACACCTCCTGCATCTGACAACAAACTCTGTCTAAAAGGAATTTCAAACAAATGACAGCGAGAGGAAAGGGAAGTCATGTAACTCCTGTCTCTGTCAGGGGCTGGAGTTTCTGGAGTGAGAGAGAAGAGAGAGAGTAACTTCCCGGATATAAAACAAAAACCGCAAAATTACTAATAACAATCTTTAGAGCGCGAGACGCTTCACCTGCCAAACGCCAGAGTGAAGGGTAAACACAGGCAGCAGACGTGGAATTATTCGTATTTTTAAACTGAGCGACCTCTCTAAATTGTATGAGATCAAAGGTAAGAGTTGTGATATTTTTACGCCTATAAAAAGTTAACAATAGGCCTATTATTGGTGTTGTTTTTCAGCACGGCTCGCTGGTAACCAGGTCTGCCGGCCGCACCTCATCCACAGCCCCGGACTTCCCTGGTTGGACCCCGGGAAAGCTGCTCTGTCTGCGGCACACCACCACAACGCATGGGCTGTCGGTCACTTCAAATCCGGCCTGCACCCGCCCAGCTCTGGCTATCCGTGCAGCAGCAGTGCAGGGACAGCGCCAGTGTCGTCTCTTACACCAGCATCCCACTCTAGTCCGCACCTCTACAGCTTCCCTCCCACTCCACCAAAGGACGTGTCTCCGGACCCTGGACCCACGTCCCCTACGTCTACACGCATGGATGAGAAGGACTCAATCAAATACCAAGTACAACTTGGCGATGGCATGAAGATGGAGAGCTGTAGCCCGCTGCGGAGTGGCCTAGGGCCCATGAACAGCCAGACTACGGCCACTCACCACCCTATCCCCACGTATCCTTACACCCTGCCCAGCCACGAGTACAGCGGCAGCCTGTTCCACCACAGCGGCCTGCTCGGCGCGTCCTCCTCCAGCTTCACACCGAAGTGCAAAAGCAAAGCGCGGTCAAGCTCAGGTGAGTCTCCATTGTGTTTTTGCTCTGTTCCCCCTGTATCCCTGTGTGGATAAAGGAGCAAACATGTGTCCTGATTAATATGTACACGGTGGTTTTTAGAATAGCACGCTCTTGACTTGGCCTATCAACGAAAGATCCTGACGTCTTTTGGAAAAATAACTTTGATTAAAAATGCGGCTCTAATGCATTATCAACTTTACGAATTAGCTTAATTAAACTCAAGATAAAGTAAAAAATAACGTTGTTATTAACATATTATTATTATTGAGATCATAATTAGCACAAAATATAAGCTCGTGACGTGCGTGAGTGCCACAGTGAGTGCGTGCTCTCTGCTCGTTAACGGCCTTTGGCTTAAACGCAGGAGTCACGACGACCTGGCGTCTGCCACATCCTGTACGTCTGAAGTGAACAAATCACGACACGCACCCAGCCCAACACAGTCCCGCTGCATTCACATCAGAATTCACTCTGCTGTAATTTTCATGAGACATTTTGTTTTAGATGCAGTGCAACCGTTAAGAGTTGGGTGGGAGTCTAATGCAGTGCTTCTCAACCAGGGGTCCTGGGAAATGTGTTATAGAAGATATATTGGGCATCAAGATTTTAAAACTAGAAATATAAAGGTTGTAATAATAGAAATGTTTGACAGTGCTGCTATGGTTAGAAACGCACAACATATTATATAGTGGGGTTAAAGATGTGAATATCAAGTAAATAACAACGAAATAGCTGTAAAAGAGTACATTTTAAATGAAAATAGAAACAAAATATGTAAACCTTCAAAGGAAGTACATTTTGCACTTTTGTGCACCATATTATTGCTCAGTAATTTCAACATAAGCTCCTAAACAACAACATAAATCCGTGCCATTCTTTTGGATTGACAATATTATCGTCCAAATATTAATATTAGAAAACACAAAAAATGAAGAAAATAAATTGTTTTTTGGCAATATCACTTAGGGTCCGTGGAGTGTTGGTACACAAGACATAAATGTTTGGAACCACTGGTCTAAAGGTTCAATGGCCTGTGATGGGGAATGTTTGGCAATGGAGACATTGATTGGTTTGTAAAGGCTTTGTAATTTTCTTACATAGTTCTCATTGAAATAATGCACAAGAGAAAGCACCAGCAGGAGAACAGCCTGTAAACAACCTGCAGTATGTGTTCTTGTAATTATGAAAATGGTGGCTCATTGTAAGAGTGCGTTTTATGGCACCTGGGGAATGCACAGAGCCGATAGTGTGACTGGACGCGGAGAAAGGCAACACTGTGACATTTAAGGGAAAATGGCTGAGCTGTGGCCGAGTCACTAACACAAACATATCAGCTCGGCCATTAAAACGCTTCTTATCTATCAAAGGCCAGTGTCCAGAGCCAGTAGTAGTGATTGATTGTTGTACAAAATGCCACAATGACATTTCAGTTGTCAGTGCAGATACCTTAGTGCAGACGCCTTTCACTACAAACCTTTTACCTTCCCATTTGCAACTGCTTTTTAGTTGTTAATGATGCAGCGTTTAAAACAAAAAAAGAAGCTGTTATTTCAACAGAATGGCATGTTGCTCAATGAATAATGGGTGACAAGATGCATTTAAAGGTATGGGGTTTTTCTCAGGTCAGATTCCTTTGTGGAGAGAGGGAGTGATTCCGGGTGTTGACAGTTTTTAACAGGTAGAGGATGCTCCAGGGACAGATACTTTTGAATTACGCTGTTTAGCAACATGCTGTTTAAAATCCAGTTGTGCCTGAATGGGATAGAAACCACAAAAGTGGGTTGTCAGTCTCAACTTTAATTACTATTGGTTGTGTCCTCAATAAAATAGCATCATACCGATTACCAGCAAAAGCTTGTAAGGGACAGACGGAAAACAATTTTTTATAGAGAATTAAATTGAATAATCCTTTAATAATACATATGATAACATTAAATATAATATAGATATGAAGATTTTTTATATTAGTTTATTGTGAGGACTAATAGAAAGTACGGGTAAGCTCTAGGCAAATAAAAATGCCAGTATATCTTTGAAACATGCATATAGAGTTAATATTACAAGATATAATGTGTTGTTAGATACTTTCATGTAAATAAAGAACTCCAACTAATATATTTAGAGGAATTGTGCAAAGAAAATATAAAGACTTTCATTTTTAGCATCATCGCTTACCCCTACTACCACATTTCAGTTGCAACACTAATTTGGGGCCTTATGTTTCCTCATGGGTGCCCACTAAGTCAATTAATAATGCACTTTTCATTTGATGGTGTCTGTAAAGAATCCACTTGCCATATGTCCTGTCTACAACGAGGTTTTATAAGGGAAGCTTGTGATCTGGTCAATTGTTGCGAACTTTTTAATTTTATAAATGTCCCTCTTCTCTCCCTCTCCTGAATTCTACACAGAGGGCCGTGAGTGTGTGAACTGTGGCGCCACCTCGACTCCCTTGTGGCGGCGAGACGGTACGGGCCACTACCTGTGCAACGCCTGTGGGCTGTACCACAAGATGAACGGCCAAAACAGACCACTCATAAAGCCCAAGCGAAGACTGGTGAGTCCCGTATGAAACCAGTGCTCAACCCCCCAATGAAGACTCCCAAATATGAGCACAAAGCAGATGCCGGCAACACAATTCCAGGAAAGTTATATTTTCCCTATGATCTTCCTGGAATTGTTTGTCCCTCTCACCCCCGACGAGCCGCCTTCATGGCCTGTTACAATACTGCTACTATTGCCATTGTTACTGCTATTATTATGGCAAGTACTCCTGATAGTTTTCCTGATACCAATGCCCATGCTGCTTTACTTAACACCAAGGTTGAATATATGGAAGTAATGAGGAGATGTAGTCTTCCTATCCAGATAATACACTACACTAACTGTATTTACTCTATAGCATTTAGAGTGATTTGCCCAAAAGCACATTTCACTGTTAGGTGCAATAATACAAGAAAATGATATCAAGAAAAACTGTTTGTATTGTATGAAAAAACAAGCTCACATTAGCTGAACACAATTTCCTTTATTGTGTTGTTATTATTATGATTGTGTTGTTAACCAGACCACTAATAACTTTAGCCCGTGTAACCCTGATTGATAACAGCGCAGATATGAGACTTTTTGAGACCTCGTTTTTCCCACTCCACGAGTCAAATTTTTTCCAGCGGCTCGGCCTGTGTGCCTTTGCATTTTCAGCTCAAGTGTTTTTCAGAATATAGTGTTCAAAGGGGCATCCAGTTGTTTCCTATCCGGATATCTGTCCGCCCCAGATAAGGAAGCAGACTCCCGGCTGTTTCCGCCTTCCACCCCGCGCTGCATTTCACTGACACACAGTGTGGAGAGCCGCGGTGGAGCCGCTGCAGAGGGACACGGGGCGTTCAGGGCGTCCATTGGAAAAATAACATGCGTTTATGAGTTACTGTGTATAGCGCGTCCCCGCACAGCTTGTTATTCATGATAGGCCAATCGCATCTTAAAATACGTTCAATTAAATAAAAAAAAAACCCGTTGGGCGCTTGGATGTGAAGCCAATGTTTCCTATGTGGAAAAGATTGATATGTGACATTAACACAGGAGAACACGCAGCAGTGTTTCTATCCAAACACACATTTTCTGTCTTAATATTTCCCGAACGCTATATAGATCGCGTATCATTCTTCAGAGCAACACACGTGGACTATTACCCATATCAAGAGATTCGCGCAGATTCAATGAAAGTTGGGTCCGTCAGCCTCATGACGCCGCTTTTCTTGCTTCTTGTTTGTGACAATTAGTGTCGTTCACGGCTTTACCAAACGGCCACACCTGATTATTTTTTGGATTAATGTTGTGGGTCACTATTTACCACGCACTTGTCTGTTTTTCTGCAGTCCGCTGCAAGACGCGCGGGCACCTGCTGCGCGAACTGCCAGACCACCACCACCACGCTCTGGAGGCGCAACGGCAACGGAGACCCGGTGTGCAACGCCTGCGGTCTTTACTACAAGCTGCACAATGTAAGTCCAGTAGAGTTTGGCACGGAGGGGAAAGCAACTGGTCGTTAGTTGGTCAAGTGGGCGGACAGCTCCCATCGATTTAGAAGCAGAAGTGCGAAGGTCCTGCGAGGCAGAACCCAGTGTTTTTATAAGTGCATGGATGTTTGAATGGGGGCGGTACTCCCAGGAGGGCAGCGGGTGGGACGGTCTGTCAGTGTAACGGCGTCGGTTCCACTGATGAGGATTTGTCTGAGCAGCTCATTCAGCACCAGCCAGACCCTCATCCTCATGTATTCATATTGTCCCCTCTGTTGGGTTTGAAATTGGACAAAAGCAAAAACACGCCCATGCTTCAACACAGAATGGAGACTATAAATGCAAAACAGCTGCTTAATATTTATAGTATTAATTGGCTAACATTATAATTTCTAATTAACATAAACCAATCCAAGTGTGTGCAGTGAACTACTGAGGATACCTTTCTAAGCATCTACCATTAAATTATATATTGTATTTTCTATATAAACTATAGACAGTAGAACTTTCTCCTTTTCAGATGATTTTATGACAAAGTATGTGTGATTTGCCCTGACCTAATCTTTGGCTCTCCATAGGTCAACAGGCCCCTGACCATGAAGAAGGAAGGCATCCAAACACGCAACCGTAAGATGTCAAGCAAGTCCAAGAGAAACAAGCGGACGGGGGATAGTTTCGACGAGTTGTCCAAGTGCATGCAAGACAAAGCGTCTCATTTTGGAGCTGCCCCCGGCCTTACGAGCCACATGACCCATATGGGACACCTGCCCCCCTTCAGCCACTCCGGACACATGCTGCCCACACCCACGCCCATTCACCCTTCATTCGGTCACCCCCACCACTCAAACCGCTCGCCAGTCTGGGCCGAGCCACACTGAGAGCCTTCACATCCGCATGTTCTTTCACATGCCACAGGCTCCCTGTGCGAGCGCCCAGTGGACTGGTGTCGTGCAGTGGTCGGACTAAGGTCACGTCTGCACATTATGGACTCTGTTAAGAGCGAATGGGACTGCAGGGGACTGGAGAGTGTGAATGGAGACGCTTACAGTTATGCTTATTTTACTAAGTCACTTTGGTACCACCTCTTCCTGACCCTGTAACAGGAGACGGGAGGTCCGAAAGAGAACCGCTGTTCCTCCTCACCACCGTGAGATACATAGGTCCTGCACTGGCTCCTCAAAGCCTGGTCTGAATCATTCAGACCAAGACACTATTACCAATAAACCAGTGTTGCTTTCACATGCTGGATTGTACACACCACAAGGCTCATGTTTTTAATAAAAAGAAAAAGAAAAAACAAACATAAAATAAGTAAATAAAGTGTTTATAAATACTTAATTGCTTTATTATTGTTGTTATATTGGATGTTATAATTATTGCTATGATAATTTATTTTCACTCTCTAAGCTTTTGTCAAAGACACATAGAAACTGTTCTAATTTTATTTTCATGGTAATTATGTAAAGAAAACACAGACCTATCTTAGATGAAAAGTCCCTAAGCTGTAAGTTTTTATCATGTTTTCCATCTCACAAAAGCAAAGGATAAAAATAAAGTTTAATACTGAAAGAACCACATCCGTGTTGTGTGTGCCCCGTGCCGCTGCTGTGTCTTTCCTGCAGTGAGGAGCAGTTGCTTTAATGATGTTTTCATTATTAAAATCATAAGTGATATCAGATGGATTGAGGAAAGCTCTGTGATCGCTTAAGCGTGGTAATGCTTTGGTCAGACTCCTCCTCTATCTATGATGCTGCGGTCCTCAGAGAAGGCCTCTTTGTGGAGTCAAGGCCCCGGGCTGGACTATTGTGCCCAGACAGCCGGCTCCAGCTCAGGGCTTAGAGTCACACACAGGCAGACATATGCACATACCCACATGCTTCATGCTCCACAAGAACAAACCATCATTCTCAACACTATTTGTTCAAAGACACACTACATTTAGAGCAGTACAACTCAACCATTATAATCTTTATCAGCATCCTACGTGTATTGGATTGTATCAGCCAGATACTGATTTGAGCATAGATCAATAGTAGATGAAATTACATAAACTGAACCTATTTTGATACATTTTACAATATGTCAGGAAAATAACCTGTATAAACCTTTGTGGATCGATAGACAAAATAGTGTTTTTAGTTCAAAATGACTGGTTTATCGTCCACAATGAGCATTTATGAATACTCACTCGGTGTGTATTTCTTTCTAGTATTGAGTTTGAAAATGTGTATAGTGACAATAATAAGTAAGTAACCCACTATAAAAAAGCGAGTAATTGGAACTAGGCTGTCAGATTAATTAAAACGTACAAATTTGGCCAGATGAAATAATATAAAGATACATTTTTTTCCAAAAACTTCAAACCACTGGGGATAGAAAGTATATGCTCCGATTATAGAAAGCAATGTAAAAAGTGAAACATACACCGGTTATGGTAAATTTCAATTGCCGATAAGGATTACATGATATTTCTATAGATGATGAACGCATTTCCGTTGTTGAGTCATAGAGGAAAGAATTGACGACACAAAAATGAATGGCTGATCATTTTGCGTCTTTTTGTGGCAATGACGATGCAGTTGTGTTTGTGGACAAAGTTTGAGCTCCCTGAGACACCGGGAGTCGAAGGAAGGACAGAAGGTCTTTAGCGGCGGAGAGAAAGAGGAAGGAAAGGCAATCAAGCGACCTGAGCAAACACATATGAGGCGGAGTGTGTGTTGGACTCTGGAGCCACTGCAGATGTACACGCAGCTGAGAGAGCCAGGAAACAGCCGTCCTCTCCAGCCCTCTCTCATCTGCTGCTTCTGAGGCGTCTATGCACTCTCAGAATAATTATTTGTTTTCGGTTCCCACTCTCATTTGGGCGATTACAGTAAAATAAAGAGTCTACAGAAACAGAGCCAGGGCTAATGACTTGCCTCCTATTATAGGGACAAATTGGGGTTATCCTCGAATGCCTGCAGGATAACCCTGTTAGAAAATCAAAAAGTTCTGCTCATGTGAAAGTGAGAGGTCAAGGTCCATTAAGAATTAGTCTTGAAATTCATAAAGGGACTGCATGGTGTTATCTAGAAGTGAGACAGAGGATAGCAGGCGCCCCCCTGATCTCCTCACTGAGCAGCGCAACAGAGAACATTTTAAAAAGACTGTGCGTGTGCTGCAGTGTGTGTGTGTGTGTATAAAGCTGTTATGGGTGTATTGCATGTTGTGTGCTGCTGTGTGCCCAGTTGGTGCTCGGTGACTGGCCGAGTGCTGCCGTCGGCTGCTTGGCCGGACTCCCAGGGCCTGAGAGGAGAGACGCAGAGAGCCAGCACTCTACAGTGGGGCCCTCCACAGGGAACGAGCAGCTCCTCTAAAAATAATCCTGCTGCACGCCAGACCAGCAACTCACAGAACAGCGGTTTACAATACATTTGTACACTTACTACAACTTTCTAATAATTACTGCTATGCAGAGGGGAGTATTTTTTGTTTGATATAAGACAAATTAAGTGTTGGGACACAAGGTCATGGGTTCAATTCTCTGAAAACCAGCAGTCTTCACTTGTGTAGATTTTTAAGGTGATTCAAGCAATCACTTATTTTTTGTATTAATGAAGTGCTTTTAAATAAAAAAGCAACACAAAGAGCTTTACAGTTTGGTTAAAAACAATCCCACATTACCATGACATGTTAACCCAACCATCCAACAGACTCAAACCACATATATTATATAAACACACACACACACAAATACACACACAAATACACAGAGATGATGCCTCGCCACAAGAAGGTCCTGGATCTGACTCCCGGCCGGCACAGGGCCACTAAAACATGGACAATACAGATGAAAAGGTGCCTTGAGCAAACTCCAGTGTATTTACAGCTGTTCATAAATACACACTTTCCCAAAAAAAAAAAAAAAAAGATAAATCTAGGTGCCATTTCAGACCTTTCTCAGAAAGGTCTGAAATGGCCAGTTAAAAAAAAGAACGATGGAAGGATGGATTTATAAATACACGTGTGGCTTAACCCATGAATTGTATTGTAATTAAATAGTATATAAATTAAACACGGACGCAACACGTGCAGGGCGTTGTCTGAGGAGTGATGACCGTGACCACCGACATTTGAGTATGGATAGGTTTACAACGTCTTTTTGGGATGAGAGGGTCCTTCGACTCCCTCTGCCCTGTGCTCTTTCGCTGTCCAGTCCCTTTTTGGTCCTTTATTCCGGCTAGTACTCCCACTTCTTGTCTTCAACTCCCCCTTTCTATTTGTTTTTCCATCAAATTGAATTACCCAAATCAAAAGGTATCCTGACCATCCCCTTGCAAAAGCTGACTTGGGGGGAGAGTGATGCTGGAGATTAAAGGAAGTGCAGTTCAGTCGCAGGTCTCATCTTGAGTGTGTTGAAAAAGAGAGTTGGGGGTTGACCTTTGTGTGGGCCTAAGTTAAAACGTGTCCCTCCTCACTGAGATGGACATTAGAGCTAGGCAGAATTGAATATGCATACGCGTTTCTTTACAGCTGGGAAATATAAAACAAAAAATGTGCTTTGGATGTTCCCAGGATATATTGACAGGAAAATGAAGTACCGGTAGTCATAGCATATTTCATTAATTGGAAAATTTCTGTTAGAAAAACAAGAGGTTGTCACAATGACATTTTGTTGTGACTAAATATCGGGATTTTTCTCACTTATGTTTTTTACTTGATTAATTCAAGCTTCAATTTTGGGATAACTATAGATTTTAGAACTGTTGTAACTGTTAGTTCCAGGTTAAAAAGTTCTGTTTAGCTGTGCATACATCTGAAAGTTTGTATCTTCACTCTCTTTAGTGTACTATGTGGCGCCACCTGCATGAGAAAGCCAGATCCTGTCAGAGCTACTATTTTAAGAGGCCCTGGGAAATTTGGAGATATTTTAGAGACAACAAGCCTGATATTGGGTACAGTCACTATTTATCTTTGATTATTATACAGATCCTCTTGAATGATTATTCAAATCATTCTCGGTCATTATTTCTCCAACCACTCAAACCAATAATGGCCGCTGCCCGTGGCAACGCAGTTTGCCTTGTAATTCAGGTGTGAAAAGATCACTACGCTACTTACTTACTTACTTACTTACACTGGCTCTGCTCAATAACACAAATAACAATCGATCATCATCAACACATTTAAACAGACTAAAAAGAAAATAAACAATTACATTTGTCTTGCCCAATTATAGTTGGATAAGGACGGTATTCTGAAGTAGAACAAGTAATTAATAAAATAGCCCAGTTTACCTATTGGAATAAATATTTATTTTAGGACGATTACAATGTAAGGTGCAAATACAATTTCTTTATACTAGACTAGGACAAAGTTTCCATATATGTGTCTCTTGTACAGTCAAAGAGGGACTAATAAGGTCAGAATATTGCAGTTTATCGTATGTGCCGTGTGTGTGCATCGCTTTGCCATGTGTGTAGATTTGTAATACGTCAAATCTGTCAACTCAAGTGACGAGTGATAATCAGAGATGACCTCCACACATCCCACATCCCAACCTGCCACAACATCACACACAAAATCTCCATAAACGAGTGAAAACTGTTTTTTTTTTTATGCCAGTGAACAGGAAGGCTGCAGCTGCTCACTCAACATCTGACAGTTTTTCAAAGCAGGAAGTCGGAAGTTCCAGCCAGAAATACTTGTAACTGTGCAATTAGGATCAATTAAGACAAAAGTGGGACAGTAAAAAGAGATGGATTGTGGCTAACAGTGTTTATGTGTAATTCAGGGCTTCTTCAAGCTGCACTGGGTTTTTATCCGCACTGCAATGCACAACGTATGTATTTTTGGTGTGCATTGTAGAACGTAACATTTAAAATTCTTCCAGATAAAATGTGTATTGTCTGTGAGAGCCCCAAGAGATGTTTTGATTGATTATGGTCTCTCTTTGGGAATAGCGGTTTGAAGTTTGAATCATATGCAAAGCAAACAATATCATGTTAGACCTTGTAACTTTATTGTCAGACAAATGGGTCCGAATCAGTTCAGCAGCTCCATTCGACATAAAATGTAAACAAGGGACATTTCACAAAGACACACTCGCAATGACACAATTCAATTTATGATTAAAGCTCCTCATTTAATTTCAGGATAGACTGAGATTTTTTCTGTATTTTTTTTTTTTACAATGCCGCTGGACACAAACAAGACACTCTCAACATCAAGGCCATCGGCTTTTATGCAGAATTTCAACACGGGAATAGGCCATAATTATATATAGATAGTCTCATTAGTGCCAGAATAAACATCAACATACCATAAAGATTTCAGTTAAAAGCAGTACTCACACAATACACAACAACACAACAAGGTACATACAGTGTAATGTCCAAAGTGGGGCGCAGATAAAGAGTAATCTGCTTTTGTGGAACAGAGCGATAGATGCAGAAATACATAAGACTAATAACTGAGTGTAATACATTTGGTTGTACGCAGGTTTGAGTGGTTTGGAAAATGTTATATACGGTTCATGTATCTATTCAACTTAATTTGCTTAAGACACACAAGTGAGATGTGGTCCCAGAGCTGTGCTAATTGCAACTCCATCACACTACTGACTTTCAATAATGAGATTTCAATAGCGTCAACACAGCGACTACATTTTTTTGTGAAATATATAGCATGCTTTAATCCATGACCAACCCAAAAATGAAGCGGTGGATATCACTACAACAATCAGGAATAAATCACAGAAGACTAGAGAAAATGCATATGTAGTTTTTTTCTATATGAAAGACGGATTGTGGGCCGTAACAGATTTTTCGGTGGGACTGAATCGGCCCCCGGGTCACATGTCGAATAAGCCTGCATTATATTATGGGAGGTTTGTCATCCAATAGAATTCACTTATGAGAACGACTTTTCTTCTACTCTCTCTTGCAGATGCCAAAACCTCTCTATTTCACAAACTGCTGAAAGAAAGCAGTCGTGTGATCAGTCATCTGACCATTTCTATTCTTCTTCATTTTGTCCCATTTTGTCCAACTGCGTGTATTTCTGAAAGGGCGTGGACACCAGCCTGCCTCTCACCCTGAAAATGAGGTCGCCCTCCTCCCACTAGGGAAAAGGAAGCATTCAGGAGATTCACGTGGGACAGGTAGTGTTCGGGCCGCGCTCCGACAAGACAAATTCATCCACGCCGTCCCAGAACAAGCCGCCCATTCATACCCGCAGCTTTCCTTTGACCAACACGGTGCAAGTACAGTGCTACAGGCTCAGGGGAGAGGGCGTCTGGAGCTGCCATCCTTATCCACAGAGGGACAATGCTGCGCTCCTCATTCCCAGTCTCCTCTTTCGCCTCATTTGCTTTTTGCAGCAGGTAACCAGAGTCGAGAATATTCTGGAATGACGCCAGGACAGATGGGTCCAGGTGCCTGCCCTGCATGTCTCCGCTGGTCACTCCCACTGGGACAGATGACCAGACAGGTCGCAGTGCAGGGGAAGACTGGGGAGGTCCACGTATTATAATGAGTTGTCATTATAATACTGAAAAATACCAGTTCTTTTGTACCACAGAGTTTTATACTAAATCTGCAACAGATGAATATCTTTCCAAAAAATTCTAAAACTGTTCAGGAAAATGCATCCAAGTTTGACACTCCGAGTCTGACTCACAAACGCTGTTAACTTTCCAAATAAAACACAAAAGCATGAAGAGACTCAAGGAGGTTTTATAAAATTGAGACAGAACTTCAAGTACATAAGTATTACACAAATCCTGTTTGTTCCATTGTGCTGTTGGAATGGAACCAGTGGTAAATTACTTTTAAAAGGATAATAATCTTCACTGTTTCTTTCATGCATGATTTTGACCAATCAGTGTGGAGGTGCCCGAAGACACAAACTCATACACTATGCCACTCATGTGCTATGATTGCAGAAGTGGACGATTATATTGCTTATTCTTGAAGAGACTGAATGCAATATTATATCTATTAATTTTTTATAACGAATTAGTTGGATTTATTTCATATGCATTTGATCTATTTACTATCTTTTTGAAAATATTTAACTGCGGCTGCTTTGCTCCGACAAAGTTCATATTATTTTTGTGTACAAGGCAATTTATAAATACCCGACAAATATATAGCGCACACTGGGGTACTTTTGCCCATGTATTCCATTGTGGTTTTACTGCAAATGGAAAATAAAATGAATCTGAATCTATGATCTTTTGCGGGTCAAGTAAGTGAACAAGTCTACGTGTAACTTTTAGTCTCTGCTACAAAGTATATTATGGTATGAACATTATTTAAATGTCGCTCGTCTCTTTCCCATTGATCTCACAGGGAGGACATTTTCCTCCATGTTTTTCTTTGGTCTGAGATTTTGTTGTGTCTCTGCGTTTGTTTACACAGCGCTTGTCAGGTTAATGAAGATATGCAAACACAAACAGAGCGTTTCACACAGAGGACCCTATGTGTCGTCAATGGGCCACAGAGAGCTTTGTGTAATAAAAAGTTGAATATGATTAGAGCATTACAAGACCACAAGGGCATTTGGTGAGAGATGAAAAAGATCAAAGTTTTTAAGGGGAAAGGCAGCGGTTAGTGAATAGCTTTACTGGAAACTGTCTGATGAGCAGATAAGAAAAGAGATATGAGCCGTTTGTTTTTGAAATCTTTTTCCTTTTAATTTAAAAAGCTCTTCTGCTTATTAGTATACACCCTAATGATTTATTAAACTTCATTTTAGCAAGTCATATTATGTTACACACAGATATTCGAGGCAATCTGAATGTGTAAGAAAACCCTCGTACAGTTCAATACAATCTGCATTTTAAAAACTTGGGGAAAAAACCATATATATATTACTCTTAATTTACATTTAGGGATGTAACAAATGAACTGATTATTGAAATAGTAATTAGTAACTAATTTAATAATCAATTTTATCGTTATATCGTTTATATATCGTTTATATAACGTTATATTGTTTATATATTATCAATTTATATGTATTTAAAATATTTTATATTTTATTTTAATATAATCGGTTTTATGACTTGATATCTATAATGACGAAAGAATTAAATGAAAATAAATTTACAGACAAAAAATGTATGTAGTCATCTCTAGGAAGATTCTCCAGGGGCATCGTTTTGTTTTGGTCTAATGTATAAAAATAATGAAATCACATTTTCGGGAGTTAAACAACAAATTAATCAATCAAAAGAATCTTCGGCCAATCACAATAATTGTTAATTACAGCCCAAATATGCAATATAATAAAAACATGCATCTATGATTGAGAAACAAATCCAACATAAAAAGATGGAAACCCAAGTACCTCACAAAATAGAGTGGAGTCAGAAATTATCAGTGGCATCACACAAACATGCAGTGCGGGTCTATCTGCTGAGGATCGCTGTGAAGAAGCGCTGTGCTCACTCATTGGCTCCGTGGGATGTTGCAACCCTAGCACCTAACTAGCCCTTATCTCCCCTGAGCAGACTGCACCGCTTGATATGCATCTGTCATATTTGTCGGAAAGAAAAGACACCGCAGTGAGCACGCGACGGCTCAAAAAAATCCAGAAGATACATCTACTCTGCGCCGTGGTTACTGTGACCATGACCACTTTATTTGGCCTCACATTGAAGAACAGTTTGCGTACAGCATTATTGTGCATATTGGCAAACTGAATGTCTTGTGCCCTCATTGGCGGCGCCCACATCCCCCGCGCAGAGTTATGCCGAGTTGTATGTTAGCGTGGACTAAACACGATTGTCATCATTACATCAAAAGCCATGACGACAGATAAGGTTCTTGTCGTCACAGCAGCCTCATCTGCTCCATCTGCGGCTGTGGGAGCTTAGCCTCCGAGTGCGGTACGAGTGTCTATCGCAGAGCTATCTGTCCTGATAAGAGCAGCAACACGTCCACTGGCCAGCATCACAGTGTAGGGCCCAAAACGATATGGATTCAATGGTGCTTCACTCAATGGCCAGACATGAAACACTGTCCTAGGTCTAATATGTGTATGTACTATGGACATTTTAAAGGTTTAAACAAAGGAAGTATTTTAGGTTTTCTCTGTGGAGTCAGACTCTTCGTTGATTTAAAACAAGGTCCAAACATTAAACGGTTTATACCAGGCATGTCAAACTCAGGCTCGTTGGCCGCAAAAGTAGACAATTTTTAGTGGCCCCTTAAATTATTTTCTATTATTATTATTGACTTGCAGAATTTATGGTTTTGGGCTATCAAGACATATTTAAGTTAAATATAAACAATAAACATTTTTTTTTTCTTCTGAAAAATCAACAAGAAAAAAAATGTCACATAAAAGTCATGTCAAAAAACCTTCATAATGTAAAAAACAATAAGAAAAGGAAAAACCTTCTACTTTTTCGGCCCCGACCAGTTCCTATGGTTTTTGTTCGGGCCCTGATCAGAATGAGTCAGGGCCCGGACAACAGAATGACACCTCTGGTTTGAACAAATGGATAAAAATATGATTATTGCTCTAAAGGAACTGTCAACTCAAAGTTTTATGAAGTTACTGTGTTACATTGAACTTATACAAGTCGGAAAATAATCAAGTTTGATATGTTTATGAAGTGACAACATTGTGAGGAAGTATCATGTTATTGAAATGGTATAGGGCGGCCATTTTATAAACTTTTGCTTCTCCCCACTCCTTTTGGGAATGTGGGTGCTTTGCTGTTCTGTATTCATGCTGTTGTCACCTTTAACCTTGCAAAGTCCTCCGAGACGACTGCAGTTGTGATTTATGGCTATAGAAAAATAAATTGAATTGAGTTGAATTAAATTGCTGTCACATTAATTGAATTCTCTTGTTTTGATTGTTGCAAAACGGCTTAATCTGTACATGTACAAGTTGGTGACTTGTTATGAAGTAAAACGAATAAAAAAAAATGTAACTGAATAAGCCAAGTCTATCTTTCTTCTTATCCTAAACATCTTACTGTATATCACGTCACATTTTGTACTAATACCACCTTTTCAACAGTGACCTGCCCAAGACAACTGAAGATAAAAATTATGAAAAATCAGTGGAATGTTATTAAGGGTTTATTTCGCCTTTTATATGTCCTACTACTAAATGAAACACAAGTACGTAATCTGTGTAATCTAATGAGAGGTAATGATAATGGTAGTGTTGGAGCATTCTGGAACATTATCTCATACGTCAAAGCAAATACTACGTTAGTGTCTTGATGACGGCCAAATCACTGGGTCATGTTGATTGCTTTGCTCTGACCGTGTCTTTGTACATTTAGGCTCACTCCTCATTGATTGACTTTTAGCCTCCAAAGCCATTATTAAATTGCATCACCCGAACACAAACACAGTATCTAATCCTGCTAATCCACCAGCCTAACTGCTAACATGGGTAATCATCCATGTGAAAATAGCAGCGAGACCAAATTGACTGATAGATTTATCCCATTTACTCGACTGATTAAAGCCATTCTAGCGCTGACATGCTTCATTGGAGATCATCTTGTTGCAGAAAAATAACACAAAAATTAATTACTAGTCAATAATGTTAACAACTTCATTCAATTATTAGAACTATTTTGTGGCGTAACAACTGATGCATCACATTGGCTTATTATCCAAATAGCTTTAATCTTTTAAACTATTATAGTATCAGTTTTTTCAAGAATGATTTTTATTTTATTAAAATCCCACATTTTATATTCTCACCTTTGAATAATTTAATAATTTCAGTGTTTGAGGAGAACCCAATGTGATATTTTGAAACGGTGAACTTTGAAACAAAAAATTTAAATGAGAGCTTAAAGTAAACTTTATCATCATTTGTTCATTGGATTTGACCCATACTTCATGCTGCTGGGGCAATCAGTCACTTGCGCAAGAACTGTTACAAGGACCCAGTACCAGAACTACTAACGTAACTGGAAAGTTTGAACTACTGTGCAGATTTTTGGGTAAATGGGGGAGAATGGGGTAAAGTGGAGTTCACAGAGATAATCTACCACAAGGATAAACATGCAAATTCTGCACGAAAGAGCACAGGGTTCAAATCATGAACCTTCTATCTGAGGCGAGTGATAACCATTCAGTAATAAGGGTGTCTGTTGTGTTGGAGGTGCAATGGACTCACTAGCTCTAGACATGACATCAAAGATCCTGGAGGTCAAAGAGGGGTTTGCAGAAACAATATAGCTGAGGCTGACCTGGTTTTAGGCTCCTAAAACAGAAAAACAAAGAAAGTGAGGTGACTGAGCGAAAGCTCGGACTTGTGTCTTTGGCAGAATGACAAAACTGTGAGGAATGTGGTGCAGAGGGAAGGAGAGGTGATCAAGAGCTCAGGAAGTAAATGGGAGAGAATGGCCAACAGATGAGGCCTGTTGAAAATGTAGAGATAGATGAAAATCCATTCAATAATTGT